ATGTGTATGCATTGTACATGTGCATGTTTGTGTATGCAATGTATATGCGTACAGTAGAGACTAGAGGAATCTACAAGGTTGAAGCTGATATAAATCAAGTCTGTAGGGAAAGAATTAGGCTAATGGAGTGCACTCATGTTGGCTTTTGTTTTCTCTGACAAATCCTAAGTGACAGCATCTTCTTCCAGTGGAGGACACATTGTCAGAAAAGCACTGGAGTACAAATGAGTTCTTACTTGGAGCTCACCTGGGGGCTTTTCTCTCAGAGAAAACAAATGGCTGGGTTTGTTAGGGTGCTGTGTGGGCAAGCTGAAAAGTGGGAACTCAGATCACAGAATGTGCTAGACTCCTATGGCCAGTACCAATGTGACAGTCACCTGGAGACACTGATGCAAGAGTTGATTCAAATAAGGGCCTGAGTTCATGGAGGATAGAGAAGAAGAAATGGTGTCAAGAGGTTTTGCAATAGGCAATCCAGGAAGAGGAGTAGTGGACAGCTCAGGACTTACAGTCCATGTAAGAGGATGAATAATGGCATCATGGATTCCATGGAACCACAGGAGATTAGGGGAGAAAAGAGGAGGAGTTGGCCAGTTATATATTCTTTGGATCCAATGAGTTCGAAGCATTCAGGTGAGGCTGTCTAGGAGGAAACTAAACATTAGAAACATGCTACTTTCCAGAAAGATCCACTGGATAGGAGCTGGAAAGAAAGGAATATTCTGCTGTCTGGCCTGTATACAGGAATAGCAGAGAAGGATTGACAGGATGACTCAGTGGTTAAGAGTACTTGCTTTTACAGATAACCCAGTTTTGGTTCTCAGTACCAATACCATGTAGCTCACAACTGCCTGTAACTCCAGTTCCAAGGGATCCAAAGCCTTCTTCAGCCTCCAAGGGCACTGCCTAAATGTGGTGTGTATACAGATGACCACACACACTCATGCACACAGTAGAGAAGGGTTGATCCCAAGTGGAATTTGGAGATGAAAATACTTGTGCACATGTGTGCTTACCCACGAGTGTGAGCTCTCCTACAGGCCAGCAGTCACCTCCAAGTATCTTCCTCAATCACTTCCTCTACTGAGTCTCTTACTGAACCTGATACTTGCCATTTCAGCAGAGTCCCCAGGAGCCACCTGTGTCTGCTCCTCTTCCCAGAGCTCAGTCATATGGGGCTTTTACATGGGTGCTGGGGTCTGAGTTCAGGTCTCCAGGCTTGCTCAGCGAGCTGTTCACTACTGAGCTATCCCCACCAGCCTGAGTTATTTTTCTGAGACAGTCTCACACTGCAGCTCATGATGGCCTTCAAAGCAATCCTCCTGCCTTAGCTTCCCCAGTGCTATGATTACAGGAGTGAACCACCAAACTCACACTGGGGATTTTCGTCTCATGACTATTCCCTGAGATTCTTGCTAAGGCCAACTGAAAGTGCCATTGGCAAAAGTGTCATTTCCGGTGCAGGTCAGAAGTGGACACAGTGCAGCCCTTGGCCGGTCTGTCTTCCAGTTCTCTCTACTGCTAGCACCTACTGAATGTTTCCAGCTTCCTTGTCACTGGGTTTAGGAAGAGAAAACAGCCTGGGGGTGACCCGGGAAAGTTGCACATCCTTAGGGACCTCAAAACTTTGCTTTGCTACTGGGGTTTGAGTCTTCAAACCTACAGACAACTAACTGGGGTCTGTTCAGATGCTTGGAAAATGTCCTTGACATACAGCCAAGCCCAGTGAGTTTTCCTCTTTAATAATGCTGACAAAAAGAACCAGAAAAGAAACAGTGCTTAAAGAACTCACCCCAAGTTTAAAGTGTAAATGACTTGGTGTGTATGTACGTTAGAATGTTCATATGTGTGCGGGTGCACATGTATGTGTGTGTGTGGGGGCCAGTGACCACCTTCCAGTGTCATTCCTCAGGAGCTGCCCATCTTGGTTTTTGAAACTGGTCTAGAAATCATCAAGCAGTTGGCTAGCTGGCTGGGGAGCCCAGCGATTCTCCTGTGTCTTCCTCTGTAGTGCTAGGCTTACAGGTACCTGCTACTACGCCCAGCCTTTAGATCCCCAGCCCAACAAGAGTTCTGGGGATCTAACTCAGGTCCTGTAAGCATTACTGATTGAGCCATCTCCTCAACCACACACATGTTTTCCCTTTGAGACAGATCGTACTATGTAACCTCGGCTAGTCTAGAACCTTGTGTAGAACAGGTTGGCCTCCAACCCACAGAGTCTCACTTGCCTCTGCCTTCCCAGTGCTGGGATTAAATGTGTGCACCCTCATGCCCCATCATAAATAATTTTTTTTAGAAATGAAATAATTTCTTGTTTATTTTTTGAACAATAAAAATAATGCTATACTGGGGTAAGTTTACCATTCTAGAGTGGGGGCCAGTTTCATAGCTTACAGTTTAAAGCATATTAAATGGCAGTTTGGAGTCCAGGTTGTACATCAAATACATCTTGAACACGTTAAATCTTATTCTACATTGCTCTGTGATTGTTGCCATGTCAGAGCTGTGAAGCTCTATAAATAACTATGGCTCTCCATATGCCAGTTAGGGTTTTTAATAATGTCGTTACGGTACTTGAAGGACCGACAATTTGGACACATATCTGTGTGGCACTGAATTGCACGTTGGTCAGACTTACAATTAGGTCATCAATGTCTGAAGACCTTTGTACTAGAAGAGTCACTTTGGGGAAATTTCTCTCCAGATTGGAAGCTGCAAACTTGCTGGAATAGTTATTTTAAAATGAATCACAATACACAGATTTCCAGTACATATGCTAGCAATTGTACACAGATTGGGCTGGCGAGATGGCTTGATGAGGAGGGTGTTTGCTATGCCGAACAAATATGACAGCCTGAGATTGATCCTTAGATTCACTTAAAAGTGGAAGGAGAGAAGTGACTCCACAAAGTTGTCCTCTGTCCTCTGACCATATAAGCACTGTGACATACAAGCACCCCACACACACACACACACTGACAATAATGAGATAATAATAATAAACTGTGCAGGCACTGAAATGTCTTCATAACAACTATCAGCACAAACAATAAAATCTCAATTATGGCAAAAAAAAAAAAGCCGTAGCAAAGAGGGAGCACCTAACATGGCCAAGTATATTCCTCCACCTACGATTATAGGTTAATGAACCAACTCTTGCCTAATCTCACCTCCTCCCTCACTGGAATTGTTAGTCTTTGTTTTATAAGGTTATTTCCCATTCATCTGAGACCCCATTAGGAAGAATATGGCATTGAAATCATTCCCATCCGTAATGGAAATAGCTGAGATTAGCTCTGATATCCCTGCAGCTGTTAAGCAAATCAAAAAGGCATTAACTGCAAGTTGAAATTTACTCCACCAGCTGAGGTAAAGACGCACTCCAGCCTGTTAAATGGACCCTTTAGCTCTTTGCTTGAGACTTGCTGAAGGCTGTTCGTGGAGTCAGGGCCATGGTTGTAGACTTGACTGCCCTGACTCCATGAACAGGGGAAATGAGCTGCAAACCATTTGCATCCCACTCCTGATTTCTGTGAGCATGTTTAAGAGGAGCAGGGCCTGTAGACTTCACAAAGTGGACATTTTCATTTGAAAACTGAGGGTGTAGTGTAGTTGTTAGCAAGCTCAAGGTCCTGGGTTCAACCCTCTGTACCAGAAGAAAAAATGAAAGCAATCTTAGCCTTTCCTACCTCTGCAGTACTGTGGATGGTTTTAGAAAGAGTGCTCCCAGTGGCTCCGCTGCTGTATGCTCAGTGTTGCTGTGTCTGGGGGGTGGGGGTGGGGCTCTAGATCCTGGCTTTGCTGCTCTGGCCTCCTATAGTCATTTGCAAACATGTCCTGGGGTCTTTAGAAGACAGGGCAAATGTTATCCTTAAAATCTCTTTATCAGGGGCAGGGGAGACGGCTCAGACTATTAAGAGCACTGGTTAAGCTTAATGACTAAAGTTTGGTCCCTGGAAACTACATAAAGGAGGAAGAAGCAAATCAGTTCCAAAAAGTTGTCCTCTAACTTCCGCATGCATGCAGTGACATGTGTATGTCCGCACAAACACATCAAGAACACACATACAACAATAACAAGGTTTAAAAAAAAAGTGTCACACGGGGCTGGGGAGCTGACTCAGTCAGGAAAGTGCTTGCTTTGCAAGCACGAAGACCTAAGTTTGAACTCCAGAAATCATATTATAAAAAAATTCAGGCATGGTGGCACATTTTTGTAATTCAACACTGGGAGGCAGAGACAGGTGGCTCCCTGGGGCTTGCTGGCTAGTCAGCCTGGCCTACTTTGCAAATCCCAGCCCACTGAGAGACTGTATCTTAAGTAAAAGGTGAACAGTGCCCAAGGGATGATGCATGAGGTTGTTTTCTGGGTTCAACATGCACATGCACACATGTAAACACACACACACACACACACACACACACACACACACACACACACACACACGTATGCTGGGCATTTGAACTCTGGTCCTCATGCTTGAGCTGCAAGTGCTTCATCCACTGAGCTATCTCCTCAGCCCTCTGACATCTTTTGGTCCTTTATCCTTCCTTGGCATTTCAATCATCTCTATTCGAGATAAATCTATATAGTTCAAGGGACTGCAGTGACACTTAGGACAGAAGCAATGGCCACAGAGGCTTCTTATGGAGCTTCAAGTGGCACTAAAACAAATCGCAGGACTTGTGACACTGTATAAGACTCAGTTTACTGTGAGATATATGACTCTCTCCCTCCACTCCCCCGAAAATAAAATTTTTCTTCTTTTCACACATGTATTCTCACACAAGCATGCAAGCCTGTGACCAGTGCACACACTGATGGGTCCAGAACAGTCACACCTGAGTGTCCATTTTCTTGGAATGCAGTTGTGCCTTTATCCCTACCTGCAGACCAAGAGATACTTGATCTCCCTTTTCCTTTGAGTCTCTCCATCCTTCCAGACATTTCTGATAAAGAACAGAGAAGCCAAAGCAGGGATTCCAAGAGGACCTACCTGACACAGAAGTACAGAACCACCGGCCCAGACTTTTTGGGGAAGTCGTGCTCCAGTACTCTTCGATCTAGTTGAAGCCAGTTCAAGTGTCCCCTGGAGAAAGGAGAGGCAGTTGGTTAGGTTGTTGGACTGTACAGGTGTTTGGAGTTGAGGGTCTCCACGGAGCAGAACCCACTGGGTTGTAGGCATGCAGGGGATCTTGACGCCTTTCTGGTACATTGAAATTGGAGGAACACTGGGGAATTATCTGGGGAAAAGAGCTCCTGAGAGAACTGTTGTATGGCCAGGACAGGACATGATCATGAAGCCATGAAGAGAGCACTGTCTGCTTCCTATAACCACAGCTCTCTCTCGGCCTCAGTTCCCTTTCTACTGCTCCGGGGTACGTGCTTTTCCTATAGGACTCAGAACACACTTCAATAGCGTGCTAACAATCCTCACATTATCCTGCTGGAAGCAATTGGGATGTCACAAGAACCACACTTTCTTAAACGTAAACCTACATAGGATCAAGCCACTATTCTCTTTCTAGGCATTCACCTTTCCTCCCCACAAAAGGAGGCATTTGTCTACACAAGGTCTCTTCTTACACACGAGTTCACAGACACTGTATTTGAAAAGACACTAGAATGGCCCACAGTTAAAACAATCCCAGGATTTACCAGCAGAAAAATGAGTGAATGAATGGACAGCATAGTCCCAAAATGGAATACTATACAGCAATGAAGAGAAAGTGCTACTGCTGTAGGCAGTAATATGGATGAACCTAAAAATAATGAAGTTGAATGAAAGAAATTTTAAATGAAAGGTTTTAAGAAGTATATGAATGGAATGATCCCATTTATGTAAAACTCTGGAAAACACAAACCAGTCTTCTGCTCCTGAAAACAGACTGTGGAGGCGGGGTGGGGAGTGGTGGTGCTGGTGGTGGTGGTGGTAAGGGATGTTGCAGGAAATGGATCCATGAGGATATGTTTCAGGAGTGGTGGCTATGTTGTTGGCTGAATATTGGCTTGATTAAAAAAAAATACGAGGGTCTCACTTAGGCTGGCCTCACACTCACTACATAGTTCAATATGACCTAGAATTCCTGATCCTCCTGCCTCCACCTCCCAAATGCTGGGATTACAGGCACATTCCACAATGCCATGCTTTCGTTTGATATTTATCTAGCAATGAACTTACTAGAAATGAATATATGGAAATGACTAGAAGCAAAGAGATCAAGAAGTTGGGAATAGTCCTAAACCCTGATTCTGCTTCTGAGGGAAAATGACATCTCTCTGTCTACTTTAGCTAGCCTTCAACCATTAGACCTGATGGTGAGCCAGCCTCAGGGGTCCTGCTGTTTCTGCCCCCACTGTGCTGGGATTCCACCATGCCTGCTGTTGAACTTCATAGGCTGACCCATTCCCAGAACCTGAAGTTGTTATAGATGTGGCTGGGTAGGGGGTGAGGCTGGGGACTGGGGGCTCTTCAAGTGGGAGAATGTGTTGTGGCCATTTAGCCATTTAATATCTTGGATTCCTAAATAAACAAGTTTCCACAGATGGTTCAGGAATATTGACTTATCTAGAAATCCCTATGTACCAGAGAAAGAGTCAAGCAGGGTGTGTACCAGGGAAATTACATTGCAACAAAGGGCTGACGATTCCAGTGGAATGTGGCTTTACTTTTTTATTAATACAAAATTGTTTGCTCCAATATGCTGTTGTAAGGCTCTTCTAAAATTTCTCTTTTTGCATATGTATGCATGAGTGTGTACTGTAGGGGTACACACATGTGTGGTACAGATGCATGTTTGTGTGTGGATATGGGTGTGTAGGCCTGTAGGTTGATATCAGGTGTCTTCCTTGAATCCTCGTCCCTTTTATATTACAACAGGGTCTCTCACTTGAACCAAGATCTCTGTAGTTTGCCTAGTTTAGCTAGTCAACTTGCTTCAAGGATCCTGTCTCCATCTCTGGAGACCTGGGATTATCAGTGGGCCTTGATGACTGCCCAGCATTTACATGCATTCTGGGGATGTGAACTCTGGCCTTCGTGTTTGCATTCCCATGAGCCACCTCTCCAGCCTCTTAGATTTGGTTTATAACATCTCCTATATTGTATGTTGCTAACTATTTCCTAATACAAGTGACAGACTGACAGGAGCCAAAGGCCAGTTATTTCTGCATTTCTCCCATTGCTAACAGTAGATGTCAAACAATTTTGTTGCTGTTGGTAAGAAAACAAATGCAGGGCTGGAGAGATGGCTCAGAGGTGAAGAACACTGTCTAGTCTTCTGGAGTTCCTGAGTTCAATTGCCAGCAACCAAATGTGGCTCACAACCATCTATAATGAAATCTGGTGCCCTCTTGTGGCTTGGGGGTATAATACAGGCAGAACACTATATATGCATAATACATAAATAAATCTTTAAAAAGAAGAAAAATGCATCAATTTTACAATATGCCCCAGAGATCCATATTCTCTCTGTTCCCATGAATGTATATGAGTTCACATGTGTGTAGGTACACATTCATGTGTGTGCATGTGCATGCCCAAAGTTGATGTTGGATGTCTTCCTTCAAGGCCTTCCACTTTATTGAGACAGGATTGCTAGCTGAACTCAGAGCTGGCTGATTCCAGCTAGTCTAGTTAGCCACCTTGCCCACAGTTCCCCTGTCTCTGCCTCTCAAGAGCTGGGCATAAAGAAAGTCTCCTTGCTTGCCCAGTTTTTACTTGTGTTCTGGGATTTCAATTTTGGTCCTCATGCTTGTGGAGTAAGTACTTTATCCACTGAGCCATCTCCCCAGCCCTGAAATCCATTTTCTTAGAGATTCAATGACTGTCACCAAGTACAGCCAATGCTCCTGTCCCAGGTATGAGGAATTCATCTGCTCACCTAGTCTAAGTCCCAGGCTCTTCAGTATCATTTGCACTGCAGTGGGCAGGAGGGCATGGATGACTGATGTGCCTAGCCCCTTCCAGAATGGTACCATTCTTTTTTATTTATCTTAACTACACATATATAAAGTCATGCTCCAATACTTCTCTGGTCACTTGACATAAGGTGCTGTTGTTTGCTGTGATGTGTGACAGTGGTGGGCTCATCTCAGAGGCTGTCATGAGCACTAAATGTCAAGTTCTCAGAAGCAACTATGACAGCCCAGGCACGGTAGGCTGGAGCCACTGACTTTTGCTGTCCTGCCATCTAGGAGAACATTATGTTCTCAGAGCTGCTGCTTCTTGTTCCCAAGATAAGAAATTGCTTTTGAACTTTGTTTTTAAATGGTAGATATACTTGCGACTTCTGCTAGATTCTTTGTGGATGCCTCAGCCAATGCCGTATGCAGACTAGGGCACACTTTATGGCCCAGCATACCTGGCAATGGGTCACAGGTGTGCTGATAAGAAGACATTCATTATTGAGCTAAATCTGACTCCTGGAACTGTACCAATCAAGGAAGCATTTAAAATAATTGTGACCCAGGTACTAGGACATGACTTAGTAGTTAAATTGCTTGTCACACAAACATAAGGGCCAAGTTTGATCCATACACCCACATAAGAAGGCAGGTGTGATGGGGTGCTCTTGTTACCCAGCTTTGGGGAGGCCCATATAGCAGGGTCCCTGAGGATTTCTGGATATCCACTTTTGCCTAATTGGTGAGCTCTAGGCCAATGACACTTGCCTCAAAGCAGATAGACAACATTTCTGAGATTACCTCCTGGCTTACACAGACACACATATGCACACACACACACAAGTATATGTGTGCATTCGTATATCATATACTGACTAGGACTGTGGCCTCATGGTGCCTGTGACCCATCTAAAACTTAAGCAAAACTTTTCTGTGCAAACATTTGTGGAAGAGAAGGAATGTAAGTCCTTAACAAATTTCCAAGGGGTCTGTGATGAAATGATAGGGTGAGGGCCCCTCATTTTCTTAATGGGCATGTGAAAGTGCATTCTAACTGTACTTGCACAATAGTGGCTAACCCACTTTCCCCCTCAAATGTCTAAACACTTCTTAAAAGCTTTTCTTTTCTTTAAGACATGAGAATTCAATTATACCATCTGATGAGCATTTCACAAGATTGGGGATAGGAGACAAGAGACAGGAACTTAGTTGCCGTGACAATCATTACTTTAACTTGAGGTACGTTTGACTGCTCATTTTGGCTGATGTTATTTCGTGTTTGGCTTTTGAGAGAGGATGCTTTGTCTTCTCTCACTCATGACTTAAAAATATTAAAATTTGGGAATTAAAATAGTAATGCAAGTATTTTAAAAATAAAAGGTAACCCTTCCACAATGTCTCCTCAGATATGTCAGTTGGTATTGGGCCCTGACAGTCTAAGATCAAGTGGAACTGGTCATTGTTGGATCTGGGTCAAGGGGACAGGAAGAAATTGGCTCCGACATTCGAGGTCTTAAAACCGGACTGAACTTGGCTGTACATTGGGACAAACTGGGGATCTTTAAAGAAAGATCAACAACAACATAGCAAAACCAACTGGATTTAAAGTATCTTGAGTCCTTCCAATATATCACCAATGTGGAAAAGAACCCTGGCTCCAGACATGTGTCAACAGGCATTCTAAGGGGCTAAGTGGTTGAGAGCATGTGTTGCTCTTTCAAAGGCCCGGGTTTGGTTTTCAGCACCCACAAGGTGTTTCGTAATTATCTGTAACTCCAGTTCTTCTAGGGGATCTGATGCTCTCTTCTGACTTCTGTGGCAACTGCATGAATGTGGCAAACATATGCAAATGCAGGCAAACATTCATAAACACAAAAATTTTAAAAATACATCTAATTTTTTTTTTCGAGACAGGGTTTCTCTGTGGCTTTGGAGGCTTTCCTGGAACTAGCTCTTGTAGACCAGGCTGGTCTCGAACTCACAGAGATCCACCTGCCTCTGCCTCCCGAGTGCTGGGATTAAAGGCGTGCGCTACCAATGCCCAGCTATAAAAATACATCTAATTTTTAAAGCATGATTTAAAGATCAAATTCCTCCATTGCTTCAGAATGTCTCAAAGCTGTCCAAACTGCCCTCACTTGCCTAGGTCATCATGACTGGGAACACTGCAAGAGGAATACCACA